ATTAAGTTAAGTCTTTTATTTACAATTATATTTATTATATACAATTCTGATTCTTCTTATATGGAATGTATAGAATATTCTTATATACAGAGACTACATTCTGCGAAATTGTTAGCTATATCTGATGTTGATATTTTTTCGTTAAAATATTATATACAAATAAATTGGTATTACATTTTAATTTTCTTTGAGCTAAACATTTTTGTCATAATTGATATTTTGTACCATTAACATTAATTTTTCTTAATCATATTTCAATACATGATTAAGAAAGTGTTTCATTTTGCTTCACTATATTTTTAGCAGTATATGGCCCCTATGTGAAACAATTTATTTGAAATAATTTTTTTTTTTCAATCGATTCGACACGATTCGGCGCTCGCCAGCTTCGTTGCTTAGCGCACGATCGACTTCTGGCTATAGACGGCGATATGTGGCGACAGTATTTAGCATCGAGCTGCACAAACGAGTAGTTCAGTCAACGTTTCGCTCTCTGAACGTGACAATGTCTACTTACCGCTGCTCTCAGCTGCTGTTTTTATGCGTTTTGCTCGGCATTTGTGCTATGAGCCATACGCAAGTCTCCGGATGCGCTAAGAATGGACAGTATGTGAGTATCGAGATACTATAATAATATTGATGAGTAATATATATGCCTGTTTTAGTGTCAAATGCATCGGCAATGCTGCTCTGGCAGGTGCATGACTTATACCTACAAGTGCGCGCCTAGAGTCCCGCACATATTGTACAATAACAAAGATAGTCCAACGGGTCTCGACTACCTACCTGAGTTCCATCGCAATAGTGTACAAAATGATCTTGTTACACTGAACGATATATACAAGATCCAATCAACGGAGAAAGTGGGCAACGCTCATGATTCATCCAATCCTCCAAGCAGTGACAGTTGCTTGTCCGTCGGCCAACCCGTAAGTGGATTGTCGACTTACTAACTTACTTTCCTCTCATTTGTTTATATATAACATCTGTATACATACATTTATTTTCAGTGCTCAGAAAGCCGTCAATGCTGTAGAAAACGCTGTCACACCTATCTCCATAAGTGCGTCACATAATGAAGCAATCTTATGCAATAAATCATTATTTTTATATATAAATATATACCGCTTTGTATGACATATATGTATATACAAAATATTAAAATGAATATTTCATTTGAATAAACAATGTTGCATTCTATGCTCATTGATGGAAGTGTAAAGGGCATATTGGCTTGTGCAAAATTCATTCAGCCCAAACAACTCAAATAATATTGAGACAATTAGAATTGAAATTGTGTCAGAGATCAACTAATAATAAATAATAAAACTAACCACGCAAAACCCCCCTAACTGTCACTCTAATTACTACACAAAGAAAATTTTTTCTACATTTCAATGGAATTAGTTTCGGACAATACAAACATTTTTTAGTTTAAAATAAGTCTAAAAAAATAAATATGAAAAAAAAAAATATATATATTTAAACGTTTAGCAGCTGGGAGAATACAATCTGCTAAAATATAAAAAGTGCATGGAGCGACATCGACTGCATAATACTCATTAACTCTAAAACCTACTAAGAAGATTGTAGTAAAGATTAAGATAAAATATGCTGATACTACTTCTTATAGACCTAAGCAGACTAAAGTTATGGAAGCTATAGTCTTACTGATTATCACGCTCACAATAGTCGTAGACTTATATTCTATATATGTATTCCGCCTTGAGTTCTTTTGACAATAATAATTTGAATAA